GTCTGCCATCTTTTTGGTCTTCGTGCCAAATGTAGACAGGGTGGGGTTATAAACAACATTCTTGAAATGTTCCCATCGTTCGGGTGCATTAGCAACAGCTGGGCCTGGAAGAGTTTCCTCAAGCGCTTGGGCAAATTCCTCCACTTTTCTCTGATAAAGAGTCTTGCTGATGTCAATACAGTGGTGCCTTGACTTACAAATGTCCCTACTTACGACCATTTCGAGTTATAATGAGCTCCATCCACAAAATTTTGCTTCTACTTGCGACCAGAGCGTCGACTTATGAACAGAAAAAGGCAGTGGAAAAAGGCGGGAAATTCAAATTGCTAACTGTAGGTGGTGACGAGGCTGCTTTTTTGTAGCTCTTTCACCCCAAGGGTGGGTTTTGCAGGGTGGGTTTGGGCTGGGGGGTTATGTTTCTGGGCTGTGATGGGTCTTCGGGGGATTGTTTGTTTTTTGGTTTCCCCCATTTCCGATGGGTCTTGTGGGGTCTGGTTGATTTTTTGGAGTGTTTTTCCCCATTTCTGATGGGTCTTGGGCAGTTTGTTTGTTTGTTTGTTACCCCCTCACATTTTTGATGGGTCTTGGGGGATTTGTTTACTTTTTGGAATGCTTTTTCCTATTTCCAATGGGTCTTGGGCAGTTTGTTTGTTGATTACCCCCAACACACATTTCTGACGGGTCTTGGGGCATTTGTTTTTTTTGTTCCCCCTCCATTTCCAATGGGTCCATCTTTGTTCTCTTTGCATTTCCGACATCCTCCCTTATTTTTGCCTTTCCGACTTGCTCCCTTTGTTTTCTTTGCATTTTCGATGGGTTTTCTCTCCCCCCCACCTTCGGCCAGAAGGGATTAATCACATTTCCAATTGGTCTTGCAGTGATGATTTTTTTTGGTGATTTTTTTCTTCAGCCGGAATGGATTAATTGTATTCAATGCATTCCAATGGGAAATGGTGCTTTGACATGATTTTTTCAAATTACAACCATCTTCCAGAACCAATTAAGCTTGTAAGTTGAGGAACCACTGTAGGTGGTCTTCCTTCCTTTTCTGTGTGATCCAATCTCTTTATTTGCTGATAAATAAATCTCTTTATTAGAGCTGATGGTAGGCATCCTTCAATTCTTGAAACACTCTGGTAGCGTGCTGTGCATAGAGGTCTTGGAAGAATGTCTAGTGTGGCTTAGAAGGCCAATTCAAGAGTGAAAATCCCTTCCACACTAAGGACAAATACAATCTGTCCCCTGTCCAGCTCCCTAATTTTGCTGGTTTCGGGACTGCCTCTTTGCCTCAGCTTCTGGACAAGGGTCTCTTCAAATTGGGAGAGGCCATGATGCACCACCTGCTTCCAGGCTGAATGCTCAGATGTCAAAGTTTCCCATCTGTTGAGGTCCATTCCTTAGGCCTCCAGATCCTGCTTGGAGATAACCTTGTATCGTAGCTGTCGGCTCCCTCTGGGGCAATTTCCATGCACTAATTCTCCATACAGGAGATCTTTTGGAATCCAACCATCAAGCATTCTCACAAGATGCCCAAGCCAAAGTAGAAGTCACTGTTTCAGTAATGTATGCATGCTAATATAACATGGTATATGCCGCCAGCTTCTTATCAAGTCATACTCTCTTTGTGAGTCTAGAGAACATGGTAGTTGCTTTGCCAATCCATTTATCCAGCTGGACATTTAGGGAAAGAGTGTCAGGAAGTCCAATTCAAGAGTGAAAAGAGGCCATGCTGCACTGCCTGTCTCCAGGCTGAGTTCTCATCTGTTGAGATCCATTCCTAAGGCCTTCAGATCCCGCTTCCAGATATCTTTCTATCGTAGCTGTGGTCTCCCCCTGGGGTGATTTCCCTGCACTAATTCTCCTTTATCCAGCTGGACATTTAGGGAAAGAGTGTCAGGAAGTCCAATTCAAGAGTGAAAAGAGGCCATGCTGCACTGCCTGTCTCCAGGCTGAGTTCTCATCTGTTGAGATCCATTCCTAAGGCCTTCAGATCCCGCTTCCAGATATCTTTCTATCGTAGCTGTGGTCTCCCCCTGGGGTGATTTCCCTGCACTAATTCTCCATACAGGGGAACTTTTGGAATCCGACTGTCAGTCATTCTCATAACATGCCCTAGCCAAAGTAGACGGCACTGTTTCAGTAATGTATACATGCTAAAACATCCAGCTCATTCTAGGACTTCTCTATTTGGAACTTTGTCCTGCCAGGTGATACCAAAAATGCATTGGAGACAACACATATGGAACATGTTCAGCTTCCTCTTCTGCCATGCACAAAGGTAGGAGACCCTTAGAGCTGATGAGATTGGAGAAAATCCCGTTGTCCCCATGGAGGTGTTACTTCTCTGATGGGTGATATCTTCTGTCTCTGTCACTCCATGGGCTTCTTCCTCCTCTTCTCAGGAAAGGACAGCACACCTGTCATCGGGATGGGTACAGCCCGATGTTCTCCCTCACACAGACAGCCAGTGACAAGGTGTTTGAAGCTCATCTGGGTCTCTCATAGGAAGTCTTTTCACTGTTGCAATGATTCCAGGCAATTCCAAAATTTCTTAATTCTGTACAAGTTCATTCATTTAGATCATTTCTAGATTCCATACTTAAATATACTAAATCCAAAAAAATATGAAAGGCACTCTTACATGTGAGAAGAAAAAACTGTAGCTATAGATTTTTAATTCCAAAAGTCATACAATTATGCAAGAACTGCAGGCTTACTTTAAATACATCCCTGCACCTTGTAAAATGATGAAGGAATTTAAATTTTAGGTTATAGGCAAAATTTAAGACATGTTTGAATCAAAAATACATTAAAACACTGGAGTTCAAAATCAAGAAAGACAGAGAATACATCAGAACACTTCAAAGTTCCTAAGAATTCAATGATAAAAAGCAAAAACCCTTATATAGTCTTGATGGCTTTTACGGCTGGGATCTGATAGTTGTTTTAGGTTTTTCGGGCTGTTTGGCTGTGTTCAGAAAGTTTTTCTTCCTAATATTTTGCCAGTCTCTGTGCTGGCATCTTCAGAGGACAGGAGTAAGAACTCCATCTGTGTTGTGGTGCATACCTGAGTATTTGTAGCTATGGCATCAGCTTTTTGTCCTTTTCAGGAGACTGGGTGATTATGGTGATCAAGATCTTTTTTAGTGGGTCTCTTAGACAGAGATGATCTGTCACTGGGATTCATGGGTGACATTAGCTAGTCCTTTGTGTGCAGTGATCACCGGTCCTTGTGGTTGGTAGACCATGTTGACCTTTAGAAGATGTAGTTTTCAGTGCTTGGAGCCATGCTTTATTGAGTTTTAAACTTTCTTCTTTTTTCGAAGCTCTGCGGGTGTTTGTGGATTTTAGTGGCTTCTCTGTGTAGTCTAACATAATGATTGCTGCCGTTGTCAAGTACTTCTGTGTTTTGACCTTCTATTGGGACACAAGGTCTACAGGAAACCCACCCACACAGATTAGTATTTATACAGAAACCCCAAACAGCACAACACTGATCCCACAACAAAAAAGAGGCATCAAAACACTGGTAATCGATGGAAATCGGAACTGTGAAGTTCAAATTCTCAGCACCGAACTAAACCATCTGAAGTGGGCTCTACAGGCAAATGCCCATTCTAAGAAATCTCAAGAGCCATCAAACCGAGAAAACAACATTGAAGAAAAACAGCCACCCACAAATAAAGTATTCTTGCCATACATCAAAGGGGTAACGGACCACATGGGTAAACTTTTGAAAAAACACAAACCAAAAAAATCAGTAGTAGCTGAAAATGCCATGAAACAAGCTAGACATGAAATCCTATTTCAAATCACAGAAGTACTGGTCAGCACCATTGTGGCATTCAACCTTGTGGCACCTGCGTGTTTTGCCCTCACAAAGGCTCACATTGCATTTTCCTCTCACTGCCACCAGTGGATTACCTAAATCCACAATACATATGACGTTTGTGAGAACGCTTCTCTTGTGAATGCAAACAGAAATTACTTATTAAAACAAAGCAGATTTAATAACAGTTCAGATAAACATCGTACACAAGCAAATCATTAGCAGTTCTCTCAGTACATAGTTTTCTCTTACAATATCATTACCACTTTCTCTACCTATTTTCTTAACCAGCTTTCTATCTCTGTATCTGCTCCCTCTCTCTTAGAGTAACCAGTCCCTTATCTCTATCTGAATCTCATCCCAATCTCTATCTTGATCTGACTCCTCCTTCTCCTGCCAAACCTTCATATAGCTGCTGACTCTGCGTCTCCAGCCCTCATAGGCTCATGCAAATTAGCTCATGACTATGAATGGCATGAGTGACATGGGGCGATCATCACAACCACCAGTCATGATGTTAGTTTGTGTGAGATTTCTCCCATTATTGATATCCCTTTGTTCTGCATCAGTCAGCAAAGATTATTGATATCACTTTGTTCTGCATCAGTCAGCAAAAACAATCTTTCCCAAAGCTTGGGTTTCCCAGCTTCTGAGAAGCTCAGATGCTGAGGATCAAAGGATTTGGTCACCTCTGACCCAGTGCAGGGCCCGAAGAGACCAGAGCTTGAAAAACCCAAAGTCCGAACAAAATTTCCACAAATCTTTTTCTCCTTTTACACTCCTTTTGTAAAATCTTTCATTGTACAATATATCCGTATTCTCATAACACAAGGTTCCACACCTATTTACTGAACAAGGCTATTTGTTTAATAAAAGCTTCCCACATTTGATGCAGACATGATTTATTTGATATGAACAAATATAACTGCTCCTACTGAAACTTTTTACATTCCACACATTTCTATGGTTTCTCCCCAGTGATGTGACCTTTGATGTGATCTAAGGCAGGGGTCAGGGAAATTCTTTCCCTTTTACCCCCCCAAATCTGTATACCCCGACATTACCACCTTGATTTGAAAGGGTGGAAATCATACATTAAGGGAGGGAGGAAGGTGCCAACAGCGGAGCGGGGCCAGGAAAGAGTGAAACCCTGCCCCCTCCCAGGCCCAGCACTGCCCCTCCGCTCTCGCTGTCCACAGCTGAGACCCCCCACCACGCTCGTCCAGGACTTGTGGCTGCCGCCCAGGCAGCCAGTCTGGAGCTGCCACACTGCTGGGAAACCACATCCTTGGAAAGGGGAGGCGGGTGCCACAGGTCTGGCAGGTCCACTGGCCATAAGCTCAGGTGAGGCATGGTAGGGAGGGGTCCTCCTCGCCAGCGCACCAGACGGGTGGGTGTGGGCAGGAAGGAGAGCCCCGGCCAAGGCTCCGTCGGGGAAAGAGTCCAGCTGGCCTGGTGAACTGTCCTCCCCCCACTTTGGAGGCGAGGAGGGGAGGCAGGTGACCCGTGCAGTTCCTCACTGGGGCTTGTTCTCCCTGTAATAGAATCCCCGCCTGCACACAGCATCACCAGAAATAAAATACCTGGGGGTAATGAAGACAGTCATGCTGCCTCATTACCCCCAGGATTTTCATTTTTACCCAATTTAGGGCAATTTACCCCTGTTCCCTGACCACTGATCTAAGGTTACCACACTTGACTAAAGCTTTGTCTGTAGAAACAAAGTGTCTACAGAAAAATAATGGCTCTACAGCTTGGAAACAGTGATGTAGTCGGACACAACAGGATACAATTGTCAAGGGAACCTTTACCTTTACCTTTAAGGTTATTGCTCTCACTGAAGCCATTTGCACATTTCATGCATTTATGTGGTTACTCTCCAGTGTGAATTCTTTGATGTAACCTGTTTACTATTCTCACTGAAACTTTTTCCACATTCCACGCATTTAAGTGATTTCTCTCCAGTGTGTTATTTGATGTATCTTAAGATGACCATTCTTAGTGAAGCTCTTTCCACATTCCATGCATTTATGTGGTTTCTCTCCAGTGTGAATTCTTTCATGTGACCTAAGTTCACCACTTGAAATAAAGCTCTTTCCACATTCCATGCATTTGTGTGGTTTCTCCCCAGTGTGAATTCTTTGATGTAACCTAAGATTACTACTCTGAGTGAAGCTTTTTCCACATTCCACACATTTATGTGGTTTCTCTCCATTGTGAATTCTTTCATGTAACCTGAGGGTAGAACTCAGATTGAAGCTCTTTCCACATTCCATGCATTTATGTGGTTTCTCCCCAGTGTGAATTCTTTCATGTAACCTGAGGGCAGAACTCAGACTAAAGCCTTTTCCACATGCTATGCATTTATATGGCTTCACCCCAGTATGAGTTATTTGGTGTAACCAGAGATTACTGCCGTTACTGAAGCTTTTTCCACATTCCATGCATTTATATGGCTTCACCCCAGTATGAGTTATTCGGTGTAACCAGAGATTACTGCCCTTACTGAAGCTTTTTCCACATTCCATATATTTATGTGGTTTCTCCCCAGTGTGAGTTCTTTCATGTGACCTGAGGGTAGAACTCCGACTAAAGCTCTTTCCACATTCCATGCATTTATATGGCTTCTCCCCAGTGTGAGTCCTTTGATGTAACCTGAGGTTACTACTGTTACTGAAGCTTTTTCCACATTCCATGCATTTATGCAGTTACTCCCCCATGTGAGTCCTTTGATGTAATCTAAGATCACCACTCTGACTAAAACTAATTCCACATTCCATGCATTTATAAGGTTTGTCCCCACTGTGAGTCCTTTGATGTGACCTAAGGTTACCAATCCGACTAAAGCTCTTTCTACATTCCATGCATTTATATGGCTTCTCCCCAGTGTGAGTCCTTTGATGTAACCTGAGGTTACTACTGTTACTGAAGCTTTTTCCACATTCTATGCATTTATGTGGTTTCTCTCCAGTGTGAATTCTTTGATGAAACCGGAGGGTAGAACTCAGACTAAAGTTTTTTCCACATTCTATGCATTTATGTGGTTTCTCTCCAGTGTGAATTCTTTCATGTAACCTGAGGTTACTACTGTTACTGAAGCTTTTTCCACATTCTATGCATTTATGTGGTTTCTCTCCAGTGTGAATTCTTTCATGTAACCTGAGGTTACTACTGTTACTGAAGCTTTTTCCACATTCTATGCATTTATGTGGTTTCTCTCCAGTGTGAATTCTTTCATGTAACCTGAGGTTACTACTGTTACTGAAGCTTTTTCCACATTCTATGCATTTATGTGGTTTCTCTCCAGTGTGAATTCTTTCATGTAACCTGAGGTTACTACTGTTACTGAAGCTTTTTCCACATTCTATGCATTTATGTGGTTTCTCTCCAGTGTGAATTCTTTCATGTAACCTGAGGTTACTACTGTTACTGAAGCTTTTTCCACATTCCATGCATTTATATGGTTTCTCCCCAGTGTGAATTCTTTCATGTGATCTAAGTTCACCACTTGAAATAAAGCTTTTCCCACATTCCATGCATTTATGTGGTTTCTCCCCAGTGTGAGTTCTTTGATGTAATTTAAGATGATTATTCTGACTGAAGCTCTTTCCACATTCTATGCATTGATATGGCTTCTCCCCAGTGTGAATTCTTTCATGTGATCTAAGTTCACCACTTGAAATAAAGCTTTTCCCACATTCCATGCATTTATATGGTTTCTCCCCAGTGTGAGTTCTTTGATGTAATTTAAGATGATTATTCTGACTGAAGCTCTTTCCACATTCCATACTTGGATACAGTTCCTCTCCTACTTGAGTTATTTGATGTCTACTGAGGTAACATGTTTTTATGTGGTTTCTCTCTTCCATGGGTTCTTTCATTTGACATCCATTCCTACCGACTTGATTTTTCAATTCTGTTTTCTTGCTTGAATTTGGGTTTCTGCCCAGGATGCCCCGGGTACTTCTGGGAAATTCCTCTTCTTCTCTTCAATATCTGGTAGATTAGAAAAAGAAGTGAAGGAACCATATCAGAAATCTGCAGGGGTAGGGAAAGACCCATTCAGGTTCCATCTGATTCCCAGAGGAGGAAGGAAAGAAAGTCCATGTGCTTGTAATCTCGAGATTATACTACTGCATTGCACTCTACATGGGGCTGCCTTTGAGATTGATGCAGAAGCTTCAAATGGTGCAAAATGCAGCGGCCATACTTCTCACTTGGGTGAGAAAACATCAGCATATTTCCCTTATTCTGGCTGTCTTGCTGTTCATTTCCGCATTGATTTTCAAGTGTTAATGAAAGCCCTAAACAGTTTAGGACCTCTATGTCTAGCGGAACACCTCCTCCCACCTAGATCTTTTTGAATCCCTCGTTCTAGCTAGGAAATGCAGCTGAGGGGCCTAACACTCAGGGAGGCCCAGACAGAAAGAACAAGAAAATGGGCCTCCTCAGCAGAGGCCCCTTGACTCTGGAACAATCTACCCCCAGAGATCTGTCTGGCTCCCTCGCTGGGTATTTTTAAGAGCAAACTTAAGACCTGGCTCTTTAGGCAGGCTTTCCCTTCTGTCATCGCCCAATTATTTTCCCCATCTTGAACTATGTTATTACTGTTATTTTTTATTTTATTATGTTTTAATTTTATCTATTATTGTTAGCCACCCAGAGTAGACTTCAGCCTAGATGGGTGAAGTATAAATTTTATAAATAAATAAATAAATATTTGATAGAGGTAGATTTGCAGACCTTTATACGTTAGGGTAGAACTCTATTCTGAAAACTCTATTTTTATGTGATTTCATTCTCCCATTAAATGCCTTTTAAATGAACATGTGGGAGGGGGAATTACAGATCACTTAGCGATAATACAAGGGGGTCACGACTCAAAAAAAGATTGGCAAACACTGTTCTACATGCATCTTAAGGAGAGAACAGCATTATCAGCATTAATTATAATCAGAGAAGGACAAAATGAACTGGAATAAACCGGAGATGATCTTTAACTAGAATAAGGAGGAAAAATACTATTACTATATATATGAGAATAAGTAGGAATAAATGTTAATAAAAATTAAAAGATTATAAAAAGCAAATTTTTGAGAAGTCGAAATTATAAATTAAAAATAAATCAAATGATTATAGGAAGATCAGCTATCACACTTCGGTAGAATTTTTTCATCTAAAATGAATGTACCGAAGATCAGTTTTTTAATTCTTTTTTAAAATCCTCATTCTTTTATTATTCCCATTGATTCTATTTAAGTTTCTAGAAAATTAGAAGGGAATTTCTCAAAGTTGATTAAAGAGGATACAAATATTTGAACTCCCGGTTTGATTACCAAAAATGAATACCAAGCGGGTCGGGGGAGGACAGTATTAGAAAGGAAGAGTAAAAGTGGATGAATCTGATGCAGCAACCAAGTGCAGGGAAAGAAGACACAGTGAGTTCAGCAGTTCTAAATGCCACATATTACAGAATTACCTTAGTTTATGAAATCAATGCGTCCTCCAAGATGTTATTGTGTAAGAAAGTCCTTCTCTGGCGGGGGGGACGCCAGTAGTGAAGGCAGGAAAAAGACACGGAGGCTCATTCTTGTCTTCATTAACAACGGTTTTATTACAAACAGTCCCCAACTCACAAGGATCAAACGGATCCTGTAACAAGTGTTCCGGTAACAAGTTATACTTCTTCGGGTGAACAACTGGTTCTGTCACTAAATTCCCTAATAGGGAGCCGGCCCAAACTTCTCCCGGTCTGTCATCTGACGTAAGGGAGCGCTCCTCACGGCACACACCGTGCCGCAGCATGGATGACGGGCCCAATCGCCCTCCAAAGGCTTCTTCTGAAACTCCGGCCCAGGGCAAATCACCCGCCTCCCACCTCCAGGATAATTCAGAGGGAAGACCGAGACTTTCCATTCTATAGGCTCTATCACTCTACCTCTAATCCCGGCGGGTACAGGGTCTGGTAGCAATCCTCCTCCTGTGATCTTATTAGGGAATCCTGGTGTCGCAGTGGTCGACAGACCTTGGATGAGCATGGGTTCAGTCTGCACCGCTCTATGTTTAGGTCTTTCCGGGTTTATGTCTGTGCATATTCTAAAATTCCGCACGCTTTCTCCCTCCTTTATCTCTTCCCACATAATCAAATCTAACTCCTCCCCTCCTTCTTCTACAAAACACACCTCCTCCGCCCTCTCATTCACCACTTCTGTCTGATCTAACTCAATTAACACTCCTTCCACACATCCTCCTTCCTCAATATCTTCATTCTTAGCAGAGGACAACGCACTCCCTTGAGCTCCTTCACATATTGTCATGCGAAAAATACGTAAAGCGGATTGCCATAGCTATGGTGGCAGTGCTACAAACCTCCAGTTAAAAGGAAACCAAAGACATGAGGAAATGTAGTCGAGTGGTCCTGGAAGCCAAATTTTGGTTGTTAGGGAGGAAGCTCAATGCCAGGACCTCAAAGGGAGCGTTCTCAGAAGTGCTACCTGTTCTATGGGCAGGTCCCGGTACGGCAGGAGGAGCTCAGAGATCTCAACACGTGGACGGGACGGTGGTGTCAAGGGGACGGGTTTAGATTCATTTGGCACTTGTTAATGTTTTGGGACAAGACGGGCTTGTACAAGCGAGACAGTCTTCACTTGAATGAACACGGAACTGAACTGCTAGCGCATAACATTAAAAAGGTAGCAGAGCAGATTATGAACTGAATCCGGGGAAAAAGCCAACAGGAACCAAGCGGTGTCCAATCGGACTCTTCATCCCTGTGGAATGAGGGTGGAGAGGGTACAGAACTACAAAGTGGTGACAGTGTAGGAATTAGGACTTCGAATGTGATGGGATGGGATTGTGGATCCAATGGAAGGAGAAGCAAACAAGCAGCCCCTCTTGGGGGACCCCATACGCAGGTGCTTTTATGCAAGTGCCCAAAGGGTCTAAGCAAATATGAGAAAGCTGGAACATTTGGAGAGTAGATATAAGATTGATGTAGTGGCCATGCCCTTCATGGATTTCTGATTTGTCATGCCGAAGAGGCTTGAGTAATTCAGAGAAGCTATGGGCTATACCATGTAGGGACACCCAAGACGGACAGGTCATAGTGGAGAGTTCTGACTAAGCACGATCCACCTGGAGCAGGAAATGGCTAGCCACTCCAGTATCTTTGCCAAGAAAACCCCATGAAGAGAAACAAAAAGCTAAAAGAGATGACGCTGGAAGATGAACCTCTCAGGTCGGAAGATGTCCAACATGCTACTGAGGAAGACTAGAGGACAAGTACAAGTAGCTCCAGAGCTAATGAAGTGATTGGGCCAAAGCCAAAAGGATGCTCAGCTGTAGACATGACTGGAAGTGAAAGGAAAGTCCTATGCTGCAAAGAAAGTACTGCATAGTAATATGGAATGTAAGATCTATGAACCTTGGTAAGCTGGATGTGGTGAAACAGGAGATGGCAAGAATAAACATTGACATCCTGGGTGTCAGTGAACTAAAATGGACGAAAATGGGTGAATTCAATTCGGATTATTATCATATCTACTATTGTGGGCAAGAATCCCGTAGAAGAAATGGAGTATCCCTCATATTCATCAAAAGAGAGGGAAAAGTGTTGATGCTCACGTATAAAGCCCTAAACCGTTTAGGGCCTCGATACTTGGCGGAACGCCTACTCCCACCAAGATCTACCCATGTCACTCGCGCGAGCCAGGAGGTGAGGCTGAGGAGCCTAACGCCGAGGGAGGCCCGGAAGGAAAAGACAAGAAATCGGGCCTTCTCAGCAGTGGCTCCTCGCCTCTGGAACAACTTACCTCCTGTGATTCGTGGGTCTCCCTCGCTGGGTATCTTCAAGAAGCAATTAAAGACATGGTTGTTTCGGCAGGCCTTTCCATCATACACCTCTTTTCTTTCTTTTGTCTGACTTATGTATCACGTGATTTAACGTAGTGTTTTTATCTCTTAGAATTGTTTATTTACATTGTCTTGTATTACTTTGATGGTTGTTAGCTGCCTAGAGTGGTCCTTCTGGACCAGATAGGCGGGGTATAAATCAAATAAATAAATAAACAAATAATAAAAGCTCTAGTGGGATACAATTTCAAAAATGATAGATTGATTTCAATACAAATCCAAGGGTGACCTTTCAACATCACAGTCACCCAAGTTTATGCACGAACTACCTATGCTGAAAAGGCTGAAACTGACCAGTTACAACACCTTCTAAAACTGACACCAAAGAAAGATGTTCTTGTCATTATAGGGGATTGGAATGCTAAAGTATGGAGTCAAGAGATAAAAGGAAAAACAGAAGATGAGCAGTCGTAAGATCAAATCCAGGCTACGGAGTGAGTTCCCATCGCTTGTCCCAGGTCCTGCCAACCTAACAGTTCGAAAGCATGTAAATGCGAGTAGATAAATAAGTATTACCTTGGTGGGAAGGTAAGGGTGTTCCATGTCTACCGTATTTGCTGGCGTACAAGATAACTTTTTGGCCCTGAAAAACATGCCTCCAAGTGGGGAGGTCATCTTGTACATGTCCAGCAAACTCTCCCTCTCTCCCAGCGAAGTCACTTAACTGGTAGTAAGACCGAGTAGAGCCCCGCTCCTAGCCTGGGAACAGCTGACTGTCGGAACAGCAGAGAGGCGGCAGCCATTTTGAGATGCAACCACATGGCTGCTGACTCTCAAAATGACTGCCGCCTCTACAAAATGGCTGCCGCCTCTCTGCTGTTCCTTCTTCCAGCAAACCCTGGCACTCTCCGAAAAGGAACCAAAAGGGGCAAAAGGGACTCTCCCCATGATGCAGCCAAAGCAGAATCACGCATGCAGAAGAGGGGGTAGTCTTATACAGCAAGTATATAACAAACTCTAGATTCTGAGTGGGAATGTTGGGGGTGGTCTTATACGCCCAGTCGCCTTATACAATGGCAAATACGGTAGTTGCACTGGCCATGTGTGACCACGATAACTGTCTATGGACAAATGCTGGCTCTACAGTTTGGAGACAGGGAGGAGCACCATGCCCTAGAGTTGAACACAACTGGACTAAATGTCAAGGGGAACCTTTACCTTTTTATGGAAAACTCAACAGTGGCCAGAGGATAGGAAAAGATCAGTCTACATCCCAATCCCAAAGAAGGGGAGTGCCAAAGAATGCTCCAACTACTGTACAATTGCACTCATTTCGCATGCTAGCAAGGTTATGCTCAAAATCCTACAAGGTAGGCTTCAGCAGTACGTGGACTGAGAACTCCCAGAAGTACTCCTTTGGGAGAGCGGAAGATCTTCTGCCTACCACAATCTCACTGGGTGAGAGACAGTAAGAACTGTGGCTGGGCTGTTGCCAACTACCATCCGGAGTTTGGCTCTATCTCCCTCCATTTTTGCAGGACTAGGCCCTGCTACTCCTGATTGCCTCACCCCTCCCAACATCAGCCACCTGACTTAGGGGGAGTGAAGGCTTTTAAGTGTGGAAGGCTGTGGGGGGGAATATTGAGTGTCGGTGAGTGAGAGTGAGTTGTTTCTCCCGCTCCCTGGCTGGCTGGTCGCCGTGTTGGATCTCCAGGGGACGGGACTTTTTCTAAGACTGCTTCGCTCACTCTCCCTTTATTGGACCATCTGCAAAGACGCTCTGCCCCCGCACAAGGGGCGGGAAGGGCCAGTGACTGAAACAACTTGGCTCACCTCCACGAGTAATACTCTTAATCCTCCTTCAACATCATCTTTAACACCAATATTCAAAATAACATTGAAACAGACATTGTTGAATGGACAAGTTTGCGTGGAGGAGGAGGGAGGATCAGGATTGTATGTGGGACTTTAGTATGTGATTTCTCAATAATTTATTTTAATGTTACACAGGGGGTTCATAATTTTGGGATTTTTATTTTTTTGTAATTTTCCTGTTTTATTGCATATACAGTGGTGCCCTGCATAGCGAGGTTAATCCGTTCCGGATTAACCATCGCTATGGGGAAACATCGCTAAACGGAACGGAAAACGCCATAGAAACGCATTAAACTTAGTTTAATGTGTTCCTATGGCTCCTAAACTCACTGTTGAGCGAAGTTTCTCCATAGCACCACCATTTTCAGACCCTCAGTAAGCGAGGCAGGGTGCGAAAACACTTGCAGTGGCCATTTTGGGTGTTCCGGCTGCCATTTTGGAAC